AGAACACCGGTGAGGCGGCACTCTACAGACGACCTTCGACCCCCGGCAGCCTCTCCGTTTGGGCAGCGGGCCAATAGGAGGCAGCGCGGCCTCCCTTGTTGCCATGGAGACAGGGCCTGCCGAAGCGCAGATGGCTCAGCAGGGGGTGGAGTGGGTGGAGAGAGAAAGACAGGAGACAATGGAGGATGGAGTGAATAAGTGAGAGAGAAAAAGGGGAAATGCAGTTAGCAGGATGGCCAGTAGAAGGAGCGTATGAGTCTGCAGGCGTCTCAGAAAAGGAACACAATGAGAAATGCAGAGCCTTGTGCAGCTAAAAGCTTCTTTGACTACATGCAGCATTCAAACTCCTGTCTTATTCACCTGACCAGCTAAAAGAGAGCCTCTCCTGTGGGACACACTTGATTTAACCCTCGTGCATGTTCTGTTGAGATTGCCTTTACTGGCTATATGTTCAGAGTGGTTTATGTCTAAACATAAAACGCTTAATAGTAATTGAAATTAACCTCTTTTTTCCACTCAAACAGACTACTAGAAATGTCAGTGTTAACCATTTTAGTAGTGTTGCTTCTTTTTGGGGTCAATTTGAGCACAGCAAACCCACATTGCAAAAAAATACAATAAAGCAAATCCAATTTAACAATGACAGGACAGTACTTTTACACATATATTTTTAGTTTGTTTTTGTTAATAAACAGGCTTTTTGAACATGCTAAACAGAACATGAGGGTTAGTAAGTGATACACCATTAAAACGCAACACTACAGCATCTTACAGTAAATTCGGATGAACTCTGCTGCAAAATCCCTTTTCTATGAACATGCATTCAACCGTGCAACATGCCAACCTGAAAACGCTCCATTTTCCAAGGACAAAAAAACATACAAGTTTTCTTCATACCCTATTTTTTTGAAACAGAAGTATTTTAGAGGGTTATAGAGTGACTCTCATTTCCACTCACTAATAAAACCCTTGACCATGAAATTTCAGGACGAGAAAACAAAGCAATTAACATTGGAAGATTCTCTAAGCAAAAAGGCTGCTCTGTCTGAGTAAAGAAGGCTTTTACAAAAGGCTTTTACAAAACAGAATAAAAACATTAAGGCCATCATTTCATTGTGAAAATTCATCCGCTAGCAAATATAGTTATTGACATGTATAATAAGGTTAATAGGTGACCTCTATGGGATAAAGCGCTGCAACCAATTAGCATTTAAGAACAAAGTTGTTTTTTGTGATTTTGAAAGTAAGTAGGAAACTGAACAGAAAGTCAGATGCCAATGGTGCAGGCCATTGGGAGTCATCATCAGCTGGAGCCAGCGCTCCATGAAAAAACAAATCGCACCCTTATGCTTTTCCCACTTGGGAGGCCTGCGTCCCCTATTCTCATCCCCAGGGTCCCAATACTACAGCTGCTGTCTGTAAGAATGACTGTGTGTGTTAGAAAAGAGAGACATTTCCCTCATTCGGTCACTTCAGTGGGCAGGACTCAACAGTAATGATAGTCTGCTTTTCAGCCATTTTTCTATAAGAACTTTAAAAAATGTTTTTTGATTATCAAATATCTTTTCCTGTGATTTGGTATATCTCAGCAACAGCTATATACAGTATATAAACTGTGTATTTAAAATACATTTTATTACATAAAAATGCATATATAAAATGTATATTACTTTGCAAATATACTGCTGCTATTTACTAGAAGACATAAAATCCAGTCTTGATGGTGGAGGTGTGGTAGGGGCGAACTTTCTAGATTTGAGAAAGGCCTTCGACACAGTTAATCACCAGCTTCTCATCAGCAAACTATCTGGTTTTTCTCTTGGCACAAACACAATAGCATGGATTCAATCTTACCTTAATGATAGACAACAATGTGTTGACAATACAATACAAAATCATCGTTAAGACCATGCAACATGGGAGTGCCACAAGGTTCCATTCTGGGGCCCCTGCTGTTTACATTATACATACATGATCTGCCAACTGTGTGTAAGAGTAAAATTACAATGTATGCTGATGATATGGTGCTATATGCACATGGGAAAACTGCGGATGAAGTCGCTCAAAAACTGACCAAAGAGATTAAGAAAGTTTCTTTATGGCTGAAAAACTCATGCCTCACCTTAAATCTAGATAAGACTGTTTCGATGTTTTTTACAAATCGTATAAAATACAAAATTGTCCTAAGATCTTAAGTGATGGACAAATCATTTCAAATCCAGATCAGGCAAAATATTTAGGTGTCATATTGGAATCAAATTTAGTTATCAAATACAATCAAATTTAATATGGCACAGTTTAGACACATTCGAAATTCCCTTACAATCGAAGCCTCAGGAGCCTATTTAAATGCAATGATTGTTTCACATTTTCTTTATTGTATGACAAGTTGGTCACAGGCTTGTAAATCTGCCCTCAGGCCACTTGAGTCATTATATAAAAGTTCTCTAAAGATTCATGGTAAGAAAGCCAGACGATTCCATCATTGTCATATTCTTGTAAAACACAAATTTCTCAGTTTTGAAAACCTGATAATCCACACAAACCTGTGTTTGATGTATAAGATCCTCCATGAAAATGCTGCTCCTCCACTATAAGAGTTCATATCTTTGGGCTCTGAAAAAACAGCTCGAGCCACTAGATCTACAGTGCGAGGCGAATGAAGAATCCCTAAACGCAGGACCGCATTTGGAAACTATGCTTTTTCTTGTGTGGCTGGCTGCTCGTCAGTGGAATATGTTGCCTATAGAGCTGATAAGAAGCACAAATTCTTATAATTCTTATACGTTCTCACGTCTGGCAAAGAAATGGCTTTTGTCAAATCAAATTTGCACAAACGTGACCGATGTTGTGCATGTGAAGACTTGATTTTTTTAATTTGGCAAGTTGGCAATTATTTATTTGGTCAATCTAAATTTCATGTATGTATGATGTATTATGTATTTTATTGTAACATCAGCCTGCCCAGGGACTACGGGTGGAAATTAGCTCTTGAGCTAAAACCTGGTACTATGCATCTCTCCCCTTGAGGTTAATGTTTATTGTATGCTGTCCCTGTTTCTCTAAATAAAGGAAAAAAATAATAATAAATAAAACATTACAATAATGCTAATGCTATGAAAATATTTCAGTCTTTCTACAATGTGTTACTTGCCATTTCTTTGTCATTATTTGTGAATTTTTTTGCGGTTGATGATCTCCAAATCATTAAATGGTCATCAGAGTCACAGAACACTTCTTAATATGCCTTTAAAATAAGCATTTTGATTATAAACAGTGAGGACTTGTTCATATGTGAGTGTGTCTGTAGACATCAGTGTCCAGTGAGATCCATCCTTCCTCAAGAATTAGTTACTGAGATACCAAATGTACCATATCACGGGAAAAGATATTGGATATTGTGTTCAGAATTTGCTCAAAATGGAGTGCTCAGCAAGAGCGAAGAGTGACTGCGCTGTTCATTTGGGCTCTTTTGATGTAGAAAAGAGAGACTGCAGAAACCTTTGGTATCAGCACAAAGGCAGCTGAGATCTGATGTGATGTGTGAAGAGAGCAAGAGAGAACACTGGGATGATGAGACAGTCAAGGTTATCTCGTCAATAGTCAAATGCGTCTAACATGACACCATCCGTAATGTGTCCGAGCGTGAATACTGGCTCGCTGCTAATTTCATTTCAGACAGTAAACTGATCTGAGGGAATGAGAAGGAAAACGGCCCAAAAAACGAAGTATGATCATACACACGGGGAAGGGGGAGGGAGAAGGGTTTTGAAGGAAGAAAATGAGACTACAGGGGTACGGTAGGGAAGATTAGAGCTTGCAAGAACCACAGTCAGTTCCTCTGCTTCTATTGTTCCAACAGGCTCCGCTTCGACGGAAAGGGTGGGGTTGTTAGCATGAACCACATGCAGGTTTGTAATGCATTGCACCACCGAGACCAAGAAACCTCAATTTTCGGCTCGACGACAAAGCCGTTCTGCAATTAGAGAAAAATATATGCATAATGCAGATGGCAGCATTCGCACTCAGCGCCGAAAGGCTTTGAACCTCCTCATGCACGGATTTGAAGTCTCCTTTCTCCAAGCTGTCTAACAAGACAAAGAGAATTACTATTTCAAGTATTATACTTCCCTCCTTTGCAGAAAACCTGTTTCATCTGCTACGGATTCACAGGTTATTAAACAGTGCAAGAACCGTTGAGGGATGTAATCCTCAAAACCCGTCCCTCCTTACCATCCACTTGGGGACCAGGGATGTTAACATTCCATTAGATGCGGGTAACATCGATATGAGCAGCTTTTGTTTTCTATAGCAGGTCTGTTCTGATAGGGTCATGGACAGAAGGAAAATACAATACTAATAAGTCTGTTCCCTAAAAATGTCATGTGAAAGTAAAGAAATTAACACTATCACATATTAATATTTCAATACTCAAGAACAACAACAAAAAATATTTATATAAATATATATATAAATGTATTGTATATTATATGTTTAACAAATATATTATAAATAATATTACAAATAATCAATTAATACTACAATTAATATTTGTAGTAATTATTTATATTATATAGATATAGATATATATAAAATATTAAAAATAGAATTAATATGAATAGAATTAAATGCAATTGAAGAGTGCTGAGATCCTAAAAACAATACTGTCAATAATATTTTCAAGATGGACTTTTGATAAATAAATATTCCTCCAGATATTAAAACAAAAATACTTTAGTCTTTAGTAGTCTTCAGAAATCATTATATTATGCTGATTTGCTGCTCAAGAAACATTATTATTGATGTTGAAAACAATTGTGCCACTATATATATATAATTTCATGGACAATTTTGGCACTTGTCCAATGTCAAATCTGGATCCTGAAGCTAAACTAGTTGAGAACCACAAATTGTTGTGTTACCATAAAGATCACCCAAGGGTTGTTAGTGGGGTCTTCATAAAGGGAGGGGAGAAATAGGGAAAAGTTGTAGAGGGATACCTTCTGATATTCATCCTTGGAGTGCACTGCCTCTGCGAGTTGTTCCTGTGTGTATGCGTAGATGGTTGATCGATAGGTCGTTCCAACATCGTTGCCCTGGCGCATTCCTATCAAAGGCAGCAATATGTCAGTGCTAAAAACAAGGGGACTGAGGATCTGTTCAAAAAATTTAAAAATAAAAATTTAAATTTACATTTGTAAACCCAAATTACAATGTACATTTGTGTTTACAAATGTAAATTTACATTTTTGGGTGAATTACTCCTTTATGTAGCATGTGATTACAGTTTATGAAGTTATAAATATGGATACATTTCTTACAAAAATGAATCGCTTAGCTTCAGAAGGCCTTTATTAACCCCTGGAGCAGTATGGATTACTTTTATGATGGATGAATGCGCTTTTTTGGCCTTACATTTTTTTTTTTACCATTCACTCCCATTATAAAGTTTGGAAGAGCCAGGATATTTTTTATATAACTCCGATTGTGTTTGGCTGAAAGAAGAAAGTCATAAACACCTAGGATGGCTTGAGGGTGAGTAAATTCTGGGATAATTTTCATTTTGAGTGAACTAACCCTTTAAATGTAGACACCTGAGAACTAAAGTAAGTCATGTATCCCTGATGTAATCATGCAGTGCAGCCACTCAGTACATCTTCTGTGGGTCCAAATTTAGCATCTATTAGTACTTTAGTCTCTTGGGAAACAAACTCCCAATCAACCAGATATGAAATCTTGGAAATAGTGCAATTTTTAATTAAAGCTCTGTTCTATCTGTTCTTGATCCAGATATGACTTCATAGATTTATAGCTGATTCTACAGCTGCGTCCTAAACAGATATTTTTGTTGGATGGGAAGAGTGCATTAACCATGCTGAAGAAACTGTACTGTGACTATTACTGGTGTCCGTTATAGATGTTAACCCATTTTTTCAGTTTCTATAAGGTTTTTTAGCAAGATTTTTATGTTCTTTAAAACAGAAGTTAAGCAAAACCATGATTTCACTGTGAACATATATAAGTAAGAGAACGAGATGAGTGTTAGTCATCACCACAGACACAATCAGTACATTATACAGGCCATCTCGATGAGTCTGAATGTGATTGGATGGCCGAGACACTTCACAATCTCTGATCTGAATTCTCTGTTCATGATTGCAGCCACTCAAACTGTTGCCTCTCTTCTTTGTGAATTCATGAGCCTCTCGTACCTCACACAGCACTGGAACTTAAGACTGTATTAAGTTAAAGAGCTGTTCTTTTTACAGGTTTTTAAATGGTATTTTGTTCTTAGCTTTTCTTAAATGAACACTATGCTAAACAAAAATTACTGTGTACTGGGTTTCAACTAATAATTGCCCTGTCTCAAATGGCACACTTCATGTGCACTTGTGGTCTTGTGGACTTACAATGGCTGCCGCGTTCGCTTCCCAGTTAAGTCAACGAGACTGTAGGGTGTCCTATTTGTCATTTTAGGTTTCAGAAGGGTGCTCGAAAGCGCCCTCTTTGCGGCCGATTTGTGCCCTTGACACACACTTTTGCCAAGCCCACAGCAAACTTCTACCTGACAGTCAAATTGGCATTACGCCACGAAAGTGTGGACTCATAGGAAGATCGCAAGGGCTTAGGGTTCCATTTGTCATCATTTACTCACCCTCATGTTCAACTCCTTTTTTTCTTCTTCTGTGGAACACAAAAGGAAACCCATGTCTTGGCTGCTCTTTTCCATTCAATAAAAGTGAATATAGACAGAGGCTTTTGAGCTCCCAAAATAACAAAATAAATAAAGTATCAAAAAAAGTTGTCCATGTGACTCATTTTCTATGTTCAAAGTGTTCAGATGCAATTAAATTGCTGGATGTGATGAACAGACTACAATTTATTTTGTGAAAATCTTCTAACAATGCTACATCTTGATTCAGTATCCTATATGGCAAAATAAATATTTTTAAGAATATATAAAAAAGGCCAAAAATATAGTTATTATAGATAATTCTAATAATTCTAACACATTTTCTAACACAATTCTAACACATTTTCAATAAGTTTTAGTTTTTACATTTCCTCATATTTCCTTTTTGGCCATTTTTGTATTTTTTCATTGCAATAAAATGTTTTTCCCAAAATGTGTTTTAAGATTTCTTTAATATCCTCACAAAGCTACCATAAGACTTTAGAGGACTTGGAATATAATACGCAAAGTCATATGGCCTACTTGGTGCTTTTTGGAGCTCCACATCTCCCCATTCACGTTCACTGCATTGAGGGAAAAAACCAGCAAGAACATTCTGCCAAACTTTTTTGTGTTCCACATAAGAAAGAAAATCATACAGGTTTGGTACGACAAGAGGGTGAGTAAATGATGACAGAATTTTCATTTTTGAAAAGCAAACTATCCCTTTAAGATATTATTTTGTGACAGAATGAAATGTTACCTTGTGTGGGATTGTGGCTTTCCCAGAATACCTTGAGCAACTGTGCAAAGTTGATTTTCTCAGGCTCATAGACCACGCGAACCACCTCTGAGTGCCCTGTTTTACCTGCGTGAGGAAGAAGAGCAGAGGTGCCTGTGTAAACATCATTGCCAAAGTCACAGTGCGCACACACACACACTCAGGTTAAACAGAGGTGGTCCGGGTCCCATTCCAGTGAAGTCATCAAGGGTCACTGATCTTGGCTTGACTGGCCGCATCTCCAGCGGTAGGGTCAGTCCTCCATATTGATTAACTTTATGTGTCTGTTGACCCTGTCATAAAAGTACAAGGGCAGTCGATCTACCTGTGCTCATTGCATCAGCTGGGTGCTTTTCAATAAGCTGAAAAAGAAATGCAACCTGAAGGAGAAAGCCATGAAAAACGTATAAGAGAAAGAGAGTGTCCCAGAAGGACTCGTAAAAACAAGATATTTCTTTGAAATGACTCTTTGCGGGTAAGCAAGCTTGGAGGAGAAGCATAGAGGAGCATCAAACAAACACAAGCACAATACATTACGTACTCAACCTGATGATTATGCTCTCTTTAAGGCTGGTTTTGAACAACGGCACAGCCATTAGTAACAATCGAAAGGGAAGACAAGAAGTTGGTCAGACTGAGATGAAGGTGAGAATTGCAGATTCTCTTCCGACGTCTTTAAAACAACAACCACTGAGCACAACTGTAAGGTGTTTTTGTTGTTGGTATTATCCTACAGAAGCCAAAGTTTTATCAAAGTATCAGTTCAAATTCAATAAGGTGAAAACACAATGGGGGGGGGGGGGGGGGGGGGGGGGGTTCACTGCACCAGCTGATAGTGTTTATTTCCACTCGCTGTCTGCATTGTTTAACAGTCTACTTCACTAAAAAAAAATACTAAAAGGCAATAGCACAAAAACACAAACAAAATCTGTTTGAAACAATTTGCATGTCACAAGTGTTAGGTTCTAAGTGTCAGGTTGTGTTTGCACTAAAAAATTTACAATGATTTGATATGAATACAGTTCGATGCTACTCTAGCACATTTAGTGCTTTGTTTAAGTGGATTGCGAGGCATCAGTAAATAAAATTCAGGTTCTGAATATATATATATATATATTCTGAACATTCAGGTTCTATATATATCTTACTGACCGATTCTTTTAAATAAATGAAATTCATGTGGTTTTTCTATGTGTGTGTCTGTGTTTACATTAATTTCAGTGCATAAATAAACTTCCAAAAACAGGATTCATAGTATTGTCTAGCTATTTTATGGCTATGTCTATATACTATATTCGCACTATGAGCAACATGTTGCAAATTAATCAGGGAACATGAAACCGCTGTGACTAGAACCCCAAAACTGAAAAACCAAGGTCCTAATTCCATATCTCCCATCATTAATTTATTACCAAAGAAGTCTGCTTAATAATCTCTGGTTCAGTCTTATGGGGGGCCTTCCTCTACGTTATCTCCAGTAAATCTATATTGCTTTGATATTAAAAAAGTAATAAAGGACTAACCTGTGGGGTTATTTTCATTACTAGGCAAGACGACAGAGGGGTAGTAACATTATCAGAGCTGAGATATGGAAAACCAAAGCCGTGCCATTGGCCATACACTCAGGGCCGTCGCTTCAATTCACGCCCATACACCATACACAGCATTGTAATAATACATTTAGCGAGTCGTCGCAATGTTCCCAGTTGTCCCTCTGTGAGGACGGCCCTGCATATACCCTAAATTTAACATTGGACCAAGTTGAAAGGTATTAAAACACTTTTGTTGTCTGGGAACTACATTAACTTCAAAGAACAATGCCATGGATTCGCTCACACCATGGTTATTATCGTTGACTAAACTAAAACTATGAAAAACATTTCTGTTAATTGACTTAAAGCTGAAATAAAATAAAATATTAGTTGAAAAACGCAATTTAGAATTATAGAATAATTAGCCTTTCAATAAAATTTCACCATCGGTGTTCAGTCTCAAACTAAAACTAAAACTGAACTAAAAGTAAATTAAACTTAAATAGCAATAAATAGAAAACATATTACAATGACAAAAGCACATAACAAAATGACTAAAAATGTAACTAAAATTAACATAAAAGATAAAACATAAAAAATAAAAGCTAATTCAATATATGAATATATATAAATTAAAGTAAAAAAATAAACTGGCTTACACACTCAACATAAAATCAAATATAGCTTTAATTTTAACTTGAAATAAAATAAATAGAAAAGGAACTGTATTTTGCTTCTTTTTTTACACACATACATTATTGTTGTTGTTTTTCTTTTTTTTCTTTCCTTTACAGTATTCATACACAAAATAAGCCAGTCTTGAAATATATATATATATGTGTGTGTGTGTGTGTGCGTGTGTGTGTGTGTGTGTGTGTGTGTGTGTGTGTGTGTGTGTGTGTGTGTGTGTGTGTGTGTGTGTGCCTACATAATGCATTATACATAAAGGCTTTTAGTAAAGTGCTACCGAGTTTTCTTTAGCAGGCGGTTTGTATGTCTTTGAATAAGAGGTCAAAAGATCATTGTCCCAATTTAAACCATGTGATTCCCTATTAAAGGGCAAGCAAACTTTTATTTTCTCACCAAAGTCAAATTTTACAGTACTTGCATTAGGCACTTGTTAATTTGGATACTGCAGTTGCATGTTCTCTGGCCATCCATCTATAATCTTTTTTTAGATAGAGAAATACACATGAGCAGTATAAAATGACTGCCACAGCAAAAGAAAGCTACATTACTGCACTCGTTGTAACCTTTTGACAGTTTGTTATGCAAATGTTCGTAGATTCAGCGATAAGACAATGGTGTTCTAATGGAGGCATAAGAGCCGGCAGCATTATCCTCCAACTGCGTTATGCATGTTGGCTTATGGAAGAGTAATGAACCCATTGAACCTGTTCCTACACTTCCCACTCCTCTCTTTACATTCATCCCTCCCTCCCTCTCGGTTTCTATTCCTCACCCTCTGCTCAGCTTTCTTCCCTTCTTCATTTCCTCTTTGAAGCATCTTGCCTATTTTTCTTACCATCTCCCAGCTCCAATCCTTTTTCTCAACCCCCATTTTTTTTGGTGAAATCCCCTCACCCACCCCCTCTTCAGGCTGTGTCGTTCTAGACACGGTGAAGGTCAACCACAGGCGGCCATGTTTGCTGCAGCTTGAGAATAGCATACATTCTAAGCAAAGGTAAAGCTGTGATGCAAGTAGGTGTCAAGGGAAGTGCCTTTTACAGACTATCAATACAAGTGGGAGCAGTCAAAACTACAATCCACTGAAATTCAGAGATAATGGTTATGTGTGATACTGAAAAGGCACAAGCACACCATCCTCTCATGATCTCTCTTTGTGCAGCTCTGATTCTGTTTCAAAAAATGGTTGAAAAGAGTGACTACGGGCTGCTTCAGTTTTAAGGGTCATTCTATGAAACTGGTGCCTTCTCCAGTTTATAAGGTGAATTTTAAAGTATTTTTGTAAGATCTGAAACAATCTATTAAATAAATAATTTGTTTAACTGATAATAAATGGCACTATATAACCTGGTAACGACTGCTGAAAATTCAGCTTTGACATCACAGGAATATATATATACATTTTATATACATATATACTGTATATATATATATATATATATAATATATATACTGTATATATATATATATATATATATATATATATATATTTATTTATAAACTGCAAGAAAAACTGCAAGCTGATATCAACTATAGATTTGGGGGGTTTTTTTTACACATCTTTTTGTGAAGGGGGCAAATATCACCCGCTTTGTAGAATGACCCATAAGACGCTATTTTCTATGATTGTTTGCGTTGGTGGCTTTATCTTTAGTGCATGTTTCTGCTTGGTGGACATGTCTGTACCCTTTAATCCCCTGTTGACACAAGGTCTTGTGCAGACGGGACTGAGATTAACACAGAAAGAGAGAGAATGCGTAGACAAAGCGAGAGAGCATTTAAGGATCATGGCACGTCCCCTCCCCCTCAGGTGCATAAGTTAAATCCTGTGTATGATTCTATCGTACTGCTACAAAGCCTAGTAGGCTGCCTATATTTTAAGACATCAAGGCAGACTCCCGAATGTACTGGGGGGAAAAAAATCCCAGAATGCACTGTGACAAGCTCTGTAAAAAAAAAAACAACTCTCAAGATGGTGGATAAAGCAAAAGGACTGGAGATATACATATAATTCATTCAATATTAAATAAAAAGTATATATTTAAAAAAATATATAATTATCAAGTTTAATAACATGCTGCGTTTAATATAATGTTTTGATATAACAGTTATCTATTTTTATAGATTTTAAAAGAATTAATTCTTGTAATTTATTCCTGCAATGGCGAAACTTAATTTTCAGCAGTCTTCATTGAACCTGTTCCTACTACTAGACTATAATTCTGAGCCCTATTTGTATGGTACTCTGCCTATGTAGTGCATTTAGTCACTTATGAGGTTTCATTTAGTTAAGATGCTACCTTAGAAGGTAGCTGCCTATGTAGGCACTGAGGCAGCTCACTAGGTTTTGAAAACGATTTTTTTTTTGAAAGAAATGAAGCTATGCATTTGCAAGTCATATCTAAGAGCACAACATAAACACCAGCCTTATCTTCCCATTTCTTCTAAAATCCTGTTACTTGTTTCAAAAGGATGTCAGCATTCAAACCCTGTGGAGGAGCACAGAGTGTTGCCAACCATTTCAGCACCAGCATTCATTTCAGCACCAGCCAATGGACAGCTCCCCCTGTGTTTTCAGCACCCCACGCCGTATATACCCGTTGCAGTGATGGACCACCAGCTGAATCATCACACCCGGCTTTAAAACAGCTTTGATTCTCAAAATGTACAGTTTCTAAGAAAAAGAGGGAATTTAAATATAAATGCCCTGCAGTGAGATGCATGTTTGCGTCTTAACTTCATAGTAAGAAATAGCTGTGCATACTCTGTGAGAGACCATTAAAGCAAACTCACTCGATAGGAAATCGCTGTGACTGAACACAGGGAAAGCTCGGGAGATCAAAGCCCAGGCCTGTCATGCTTTTCTAGGCAGAGAAAAACTACCAGAGAAAGTTTGAGCTGAGAAAATCATCAGCTAAATACGTCTGTACTCAGAATGTAAAATTAATTTAATTGAATTTATTTTTCAAAAACAATAATTTGTGCTTTTTTCTTTTTAAAAGAATTGCAAAGTAACAAAAATGTAATGGTCGCAATCTTGTGTGTTTATTTGAAAAATGTGTGCTCTTTGTTTGCTCTACTGTTTAAATGTTTGGGGTCTGTAAGACTGTTTCATGTTTTCGAAAGAGGTCTATTATGCTCACCATGCCTGCATTTATTTTAATCAGAATACAGTAAAGTTGTGGAATATTATTACAATTTAATATAATTTTTTTCTGTTTTAATATATTCTAAAATAAATCAAGACAGTAATCTATTCCTTTGATGGCAAAGATGAATTTTCAGCAATCTTCAGTGTCAGAAATCATTGTAATATGCTGATATGGTGCTCAAGAATAATTTCTTATTATTATCAGACATTATCACAGTATTATTATTATTATATTATTATTATTTTGTGGAAACTGTGATTTTTTTTTAGGATTCTTTGATGAATAGTTAAAAGTACAGCATTTATTTGAAATTGATTTTTTTGTAACCATGTAAAAGTCCTTTTACTGTCACTTTTGACAATTTAATGCATGTTGAGTGACTGAGTGTATAAAAAATAAAATAGGATTACTGCATTCCTATTCTGTTTTCCCGTCTTGTTTTTTGAAGGAAAAGCCTACTATTCTAAATCCCAAATCCTGTAGGATAAGGAAGGGGAGGCTTGGACCCAAATACTACTACTACTACTACTACTAATAATAATACTAATAATAATAGTAATAGGCCAACAGCTGGCACAGCTAAGGCAAACCCAGCCATGTCAAAAACACCCATCTTGATTACTGCATTCAAGCAGAAGCTTCATGGGGATTTTTGGACGGGCAAAGCTCGACAGTATGAGCATGTGTTGTTTTGTATTGGTATATTAGCCAGTTACTGGATAATTGCTATATGAGCAAGTGTTATCCTATTAAGTATAAGCATATATGAATGCCATCTGGATGCTTACAGATGTTACGAAAAAGAACAAGACTATAATTACAGTACAAATTCTGTTCAGAATTCTGATTTCTGCTCTTCTATTAGTGCATTTCTCAAAGATGTTTTACAGTCATTCCAACTCATTCAACACCAATACAGTTCATGTATAATTTGTGATACTCAAATTGTGCACACATTCTTTATGTGGCTGGAGCTCCACAGACAATAAGTGACTGACAGCTTGGAAATGGTAATCAGAGACATACCTGTGCACACCTCCTCATAGGTCGCGTTTGGGGTGTAACCACCAGAATAGCCCACTTGAGTGGAATAGACCCCCTTTTGCTTCCAGAATTTCCTCTCCGCTCCCCAGAAACAGCCCATACCTGTGTTAAAAACATAAAAGAAACAATAAATATTCCTAATATATAGCCATAGACTGATCCAAATCATCATATTTCTATTATTGCCAGATATGAAAAAGATAGTATTGATTCTGAGAACATTTATGCATTTGATGGACACTTTTAAATTGCATTCAAAGTATACATTGACAAACTATACACATACATTTCATGCATTCCATGGAAAATCAAACCCATGACTTTGGGTTGCTAGCACCATGTTCAATTGTTCAAAAACACCAAGGAACAGAAAAGTAGGCCAAATGACTTCCCTTTCCTCAATAAAGCTATCATACAGCTTCAAAAGACACGGAATTTAGTGCATATGGAGTCATATGGACTACTTTTATGATACTTTTAGGATGCTTTTAAGATTTTTCGGCTTTGGAGCTTGACAGAAAATCTACTTTATAGAAAATTTCCAAACATGGAAAAAAATAACAGCATACAGGTTTGAGGAGACATAAGAGTGACTAAATAATGAAACAATTTTAATTTGGGGGCGAACTATCCCATTCAAATTATATAGTCACTAAGATTCTGCAGTGTATACTACCATTCAAAAGTTTTTTACTGTATGTTTGATCAAATAAATGCAGCCTTTGTGTGCATAAGAGGCTTCTTTCAAATACATAAAAACCCCTCTTTTTTTGGTGAGGAAAAAAGTATTTTCCCTCACCAAATTCTCTTTGCCGTGTGTTTTTGTGTTCTGCTGGGAACGAGCCTCCTCTAGCACCTTCCCACTGGTGTTAAATCAGGTCCTATTTTTTCTATTCAAAGCTCTATATTTTAGCTATGAATTTACAATCCCATAAAACTAAAGACTCCTCCATCACGCATTTACTCAGGGCCAATAAAAACATATCAACCACCATAAAACATAAAACACCCGCTGTAAGCATTTATTACCAAATAATACTATAACAGTAAAAATATATTAGAGGGTAACTAGTATATCGTTATCTGCAACATCCCACGGGTGGAAAGTAATTCAATTGTTGATTTTTTTTTTTTTTTTTTTTACGTACACGACTGTCAGCTTGACCAGATTTCTCTGATTTACAAGCTGCTGTAGAGAAGTGAGCATAAGGCGTATGATAGAGAATCTAGAATCTGGAGCTCAATTACGCCGGCCCAGAGGGACACCCGAACGCCAAGACTATAAGATGATGCTTTCACATGGGGGACGTCAATGTTCGGTAAATGAGGGTGAGCGCTGTGCTGCTGTGTCTAGCAGGAAGAATGGCACATTTTCATGGAGTCAAAGGTACCTGAGTTACCCTTCATCGCTCTCAGCGGGGGGTTTGTGATTTGCAAAGCCGCATACATACTTTGAATATTATTTTATTTGTATTCAAGACCCTGTGATAAAACAGCCATTTAATTCCTGTCTGCCATGATGAATTACACAGTTTGAGGCCTAAATAAAGAAAAAAGGGAGGCTGAACAAATGCATTTATTAAAGAGATCCTAATCAGCAGTCTGCAATTAATCGGCACACCCCTCCCCTTTATTTTCCTTATCCTTTTGCAGTTTTGGTTTTGCACTTCTTCAAGGGGATGAGGGGGTGCATGAGGGGGTGCATGAGGGGACTAATTACCTTCCACTGCCGGTCGTCTACCCCCACGCAGCGATCACACGCACACACACACACACACATCTCCGCACACATATCTCACAGCTCGGATCACTTACCGAATAAGACCATCTGCAATCCCTCTGGGAACGGTGGCACTGTCCTGTTACCATTCACGTCGTGCTTAGCTGCAGGACACAGGGGAAACAATGGAGAGAATGCCCTTATAAATCAACACAATGTCAACAGGACTTCATAATGTGCTCTTCCCGACGCAAAAGCACCACAACTCACTGTACGGAAGAAACTCCCAGGAGAATAGCGGCTCTATTCCTATGCAGCTCATTAAATTCAACCCATAAGTTTTGGCTTTATTCCTTTATCTTTTACTTTAGGAGCACCAGGAAGATAGGAAAGGACATAGGGAAGGTTAAAGAAGGGGAGGGGAAACAACACCTGGCCGGATTAATGTATGTCAATGCGATGTTTTAACATGTGACAGGGATACAGATGGGCCAAGGCATGGAAAACCGTTGCGTGGATTAGAATAAATAGAGGTTACTGAGTTCAACATCTGGGCGCAGCCATGCCGGAGCTTCTACATGCACGTACTGTATGAGTATGTTGCCATGGCAGCAGGGCATGCCAATACAGCCATGACTGATGGCAGACCTACATTGCATGCAGTTCACTGTAACTCACTCACGGCCACACTAATCCTGAACGTCAACCACTTTTAATTAGGGGAAAGCTTCAAATGTAAAGTTAATTATGCTCCAAAGAATTAGGAAATTGATAAATAAATAGATAAATGAATTAATAAATGTTCAGTCCATTATTAAAACAAATTCTGTTCAATAAAATAAATAAATAAATAGTTAAACAAACAAATAAATAAATATAATGTTCCATGGGTTGAACATTTATTTAAAAAATAAAATAAATAAATAAACCTTCAGTCCATTGTTGGTTCATTTTTCTGTTTAATAAATAAATAAATGTTCAGTCCATTATTAAAACAAATTCTCTTAAATTAAATAAATAAATAAATAAATAGTTAAACAAACAAATAAATAAATGTAATGTTCAATGGGTTGAACATTTATTTAAAAAATAAAATAAATAAATAAAAGTTCAGTCCATTGTTGGTTCATTTTTCTGTTTATTAAATAAATACATGTTCAGTCCATTATTTGCAACTTTTTCTGTTAAATAAATAAATGAAAAAATCCATTATTGGCTATTTTTTCTGTTAAATAAAAATAAATAAATAATTGAATGTTCAGTCCATTGTTGTCCCTATTTTCCTTAAAAAATATAAAATAAAACCTTATAAAATGCGTTTGCATGCAAGGTCAGTGGTGTGTTTCACAAGGGGCTTGCTGAAATGTGGCTGTGTTAAATGATGATAAAACAAATATATACCAATTGGTGGTGAAACAGAGTGCAAATCTTCTTTTGGCACAGTAAACCTTTCCATTTTAGGATTAAAATGGCACTCGAACAATACAGTGAAAAGAAAGGCTTTCTGTGGAGGCCACAGTTCTAATCTAATCTGTGTAAGTGGACTGAAGAGAAGCATTAGAACAGACTTCATTAAATCACTTTTACATTCAGACTCTGCGCTGATCTGTTTCAACCGCTCAACACTCTCTTACAGCGTACAGTACATTGAGCACAAATTCCATGTAGTCTATTCATTCAATATCAATCAATATAAAAAGAGAGAACACCAGCTAGAAGAATAAGAATTGTTTCACCCTAAAATGAAATGTCTATTATAATTCACTCACACTCGTGGCATTTCAAAAATGTATAACTTCCTTTATTTTATTTTTGTCTTTATTTTTTATTTTTGTAGAAAAATATCCTGGTTGCTCTTTTCAAAATAATGACAATGAATCAGAAAGGACACAAAAACACCATAAAAGTAACATAAACGTGGTCCATGTAACTCTTGCACTATATGTATAGGCTGACTAATATGAGAAGCAAATCTGTCCAATTTATCCAAGTCATTAGCCTGGGAAAACCCAGACAACCTTCAGGCAAATTTAGATTTGCTCTGAAAGTTAGTCTGGCAAAGAGCTCATTCAAGCTCATTTCCAATCCGCCGAAATCGAGGCACCAATCAGAAACGTTGGGGCGGGCTTTACACGATGACGACAGCGCTGGGATTTTGAAGCAGATTTTGTAGCCTACATTACAAAGATGGATGCCGCCGTCGAACATCACTCGTTCGAATCAGTTATCGCGTCTGTTTTAAGCGATTTGAACGTTTCCTTTTTGTTAAAAACCGAGCAAGGAACAACACTCGGAGATGTTTCTGCCGCTCTGCATACGTCATCTCCTTCATCGCTCTGATTGGTTTTAGGTCTATCCGCGACGTCCGTTGGTGACGCCCCTCTGGAAATGATTTGTCTATGACGCTTTGCCAGACCATAACTCAGTTACAACTGAGAATGGTCTGGTTTTAACCAGGCTACCAAATCATTGGATGATCCATACAAATCATTTAAGCCGGTGTTGTGATACATTGAAAAGTAGTATGGACCACTTGTATAGTGCTTTCTTTGTCATTTTGGAGCTTGACAGCTTTATACAGACAGACAGGATATTCTTTAAAGATTCATCTTATGTCTTCCATGGAAAATAATGAATACATTTTTTTTTATAAAAAATATAACTTTTTTCAAATAATATTACATTTTGCCAGTCCAATCAAATAATGTATGAAAAAGGATTGAAAAGAAAAACCGTGGCTGATACTGCTTTCAGTTCTTTCGTCACACTTGAAACTGACAAGTCAAACAGACACTGCATTCCAAAATACAGTATTCCATGCAGTGTCATCTAGTGTTCTTTACATAAAGGTAATCTGCAAACTGCACACATACTACAGGCTTTCGAAATCACTTAAAAGCAGGCCATTCAGATCACCCACCATATGTTGCTCAGGCCTGGTCTGCAGTGTGAGGCATAGTGTGGAATAGTCTTATTGATCTGCAGTGCGTCATTTTGCAAAGTAGCTTGCTTTACTATAAGAACTGGCAAGAGCTGAGGGGTTGGTCAGTGGCTGTACTTTTGCCTTTCAGTGAGAGAAGAGTGACCAGGGTAGGGTTGCGCCAAAAGCCATTCGTAATTTCTACTTAAATTGGAAAAAATACAGGTGTACTGTGTACTGGACAGCTTTGCTGAGGAAAAGAACTACAATCCCATGAAGCATTGTGAAAAGGTGAATAGAATTAAAAACAATGGAGAAATATAAAAATGCACATTTAAAAAAAAAACATGAAGCATTGTGAACAGAAGTTCTGTCATGACAACTCTCAGAATGTTTGGCATGGTAATGGGTATAACAATGTTGATATATTTGGTCATCATGGCTGAATAGATCTGCTACGCTGCTGCTGCTGCCAATAGATACATGACACGCTGCTGTGAACAAGAAATACATGCTGCTGCTTGTACAATATAGCGCACATGAATTACCCGTAGCAGATCTACAGTATACAGGTGGAGCTGGGGAAGGGGGAGGGTTTCTAAAAGCGCGCTGCACTGCTAAGGAAAATGCTAACCAAGTATTTGAAGGTTGAGCATGTGAGCTCATTGGCTACTGATACAGCAGGAACCAATCAGCTGTGACCAATAGAGAATGATGTGATTGCAAGCAGGTTGAGTTTGAGTTGAGGTTGAGTTCAATCAGCCTGCGCCATCTCTCATGACAGAACTTTGTATTTGTGTTGAAATTTTGTGAATTTCAGTTTATCCATCATTCTAACTTTCGCCTTACGTAACTATGGTAAAAACAAGTTGATTAAATAGGATACTTAACCATGATCATAATACTTTTATATGCAACATAAATAACATTCAGAAACTGTTTTTAAAATTAATAAGGATCAATAAATAAATACTAATGCAAAAAAACACAAGAAATGACTTTTATTTATTATGACTGATTTTATTTGACATGCACAATACGGACCGATGCAGCGGCGCGCTGTTTAGGACGGGTTCGTGTTGATGAGCCGCAAACAAAATAGTAATATATTCACATAATGTTCTCTCTTATAATGTAAGTGAAGAGTGTATATTTCAGCATTATCATATATCTAAAGAATTAGTCTGTCAGGTAAAACAAGAGCTTATTGATGCAGTTCAGTCAGTTTGCTATTTTATTCCAACCGTTACTCCTGATCGGAGGTAAATATTTAGTTTATATGAAGAGTCACGCTTTACCTAAGTTTAATGGTGCAGCGCAAAAATATTCAATAGTGCGTAAGTTGTAACTTAGTGTCCATTTACGTCAAAACTAGACTAGTTGTAACTTACACGGCCCCGGCCACTACCCTCACTGAGCTACTAGCTCTCTATTACCCTCTCACCACGCTCCTGCTCTCTAATGGCCAGCACTCACTTTAGCTGTATTTTATATAGTGTACTATGGTTACATCTCAACCCATTCCATCATGTTGAATCCAAAGCACTCAGCTCTCTCTGTGTGACCTCAGAGCACAGATGCTGAGATTGACAGGTGCTTGGAGGCAGATAGTATGAAAAAAAAAGGCTATGAACTTACATGACCTTTCCTGTCATATACAATTACTTGATTTATATATTTTTTGAAATAATTCAAATTCAGACTGATTCACGAATGAATCATTCAGACATATTTGGTTCATATAATTAATTGAAAAGAATTAAAATGATTCATGTCTTTTGTAATCTGAGCAAATGATGCAAATGTCACTTTAGGGGCTTCATAGACATCACTATGCCACGCTTTTTACTGTACACAAGAACAACATTAAGTTGGCTTTATATATCATTTATTATATCAATTTAAGAATTAATAAACTAAATAAATTTAATTAAAATAAGCCAATACATTAAAACATATTATTATATCAATTATAAAATAACAATTAAAAATATTTAATTTAAGAAATATATATATTTCTTAAATTAAACATTTTTAATTGTTATTTTTATATAATATATATTATAATCTGTATTATATATATGTATATATAAATAAATTCTAATATATAGAATTTAATAATAAACAACTAAAATATTACTGAAATGTTTTCCAATGAGATGTTTTTCCCCCCTAATGCAGACAGAAAAGTGTTGACAGTGAGGCCTTAAACTTGCATTATAGAGAAGCGCAAGCCGAAGAAAG